AAGTGTTGCTATCTCTTGTCGATCGTTTACTATATTTCTTTTGCATGTTTTGACTTCCAGAATAATTTTGTTTGGTATAACATATTATTCAAACCTCCACAGTCGGTCATATGTCGGAAGTAGGTATGAATCAAGACTGTCATGATTGGTTGCAGAGGTCTACGGTGTTGGACAAGGCTACAACAATCATGAGTGCTCATAAGTTCTGAGCATTAGACTCAACCCACGCTCATTGGAATCACTTCATGGAATTCTATCTCGAGTGATCGTGAGACGGTAATATCATATAAGTCTTCAAACCTAGAGATATGATTTGTTACTTACAAGTTGGTTATGCATTGATTGTACGGAAACGCATTGGTGACTCGATGTTATAAAACGTGCTTTTGTGTATAATTCAATGAGTGGTAGAACAAACATATGAGTCGAAGTTTATCTGTTCCTTCTTGGATTAGAAGCTGATATCTAGGCCCCTCGATGATTTTGTTTTGACCTATGTACCGGGCCCGGTCAGAACTAAGTTGATGTGTTCAATTAAGTTCTTTGTCAAACAAATCAGAAATCGGGAAACAAACTGCTGGACAATAAGTAAGACATTGTTCCATGTATTTGTCCGGCTGATGTCTAGAACAGAGGATTATATGATCACTTATCTTAAATGGCGTATCAACATCTTCTGAGTTCCGAGAGACCTTGAAAGAGCTACGATTGTCGGTCGGTTCCTGATGTACTGGAGTTATAGTTATTAGACTTATCCAAGTGGGAGACTATTGGATAAGGTGTCTAAGTCCATAACTATTTCTGGTCAGTACTTGACCCGACCCGGCATGGTCCATTTGGGTTGTGGCACCATGCAACTGGATAGAGTAAATGAGAGGAATAACATTTGGAGATTATTAATATATTATAAGTTCTAATATATTAATAATATTATTTGATTAGTTTGATCAAGAATTAATTTAGAATTAATTAAGTGATCAAAAGATAACTTATTAAATATATGGGTTGATTATGTAAATCATCCATATCTTGTATAGTGGGCTAAGAAGCTCCATGGATTATCAAGTTGGGTTCCACCCATAGGATACTCCATGGATGCTCCATGGGAGTTACAAACCCATGGGTCATGGAAATGAAGAGTCATGACACATTAGGGTTTACATGGTGTAACCCTAGATGTGTCAACACTATATAAGAATCCTATTCTCCACCAAAATCGGTTACACATATGAAACAAGAGGGCTAGGCCGATTTTAAGAAGTGTGTATTCTCTCAAAAGTCTTTCCAAGAGCATTTGGTTTTGTGTGAAGCATTTGAGGCATCACACTTGGGGTGCTAGGCTCACAAGGTTTCAAGGAACATAAGCAACAACAAGGTAAGTTATTCTATCTTTCATTCAAGTTAAAAATTGTTCCCCATGTATGCTAGATAGGAATATAACCTTGGAATTCAACTTTGCATGATAATTAGACAAACATAGATCCAAGGTTATTAGGGTTGCATGTACACTTAGGAAGTGATAGAATGCTCAAAACCCATCAATAAGTTGATTAACCCTTAGATATAGGCATGATTGAGCTCCATGAGCTCGGATCTACTGCCTTTATGGAGCCATATTGCATGAAACCCTAGATCTACTCTTTTGATGCATTTTGAGCCCCAAAACCTTCATTGGTGTTTATTTACACATAAAGTTGGAAACTTTACATGTTAATCAAGCCCTAGAAACCCAGATCTATGTATGGAATGAGCTGGATTCGAGCAAAATCGAGTATATAGTATTTGCATGTGAAAGACTCGGTGAGTCGTTCATCGGACTCGGACAGTCGAGTCGCAAGTCCTCGACTTTTCCCCCTTTTCGTGTTTGCGGAGTGGAGTAGTGAGTCATGGGGTGTGACTCAGTGAGTCGGAGGTCAGAATCACCCATGAAGGAACTCGGCGAGTCAATGCCCTGACTCGGCGAGTCCAAGGCAATCTTCTTGCCTCAAGAACAGACTCGGCAAGCTGTTCATACAACTCGGTGAGTCACAGCATGGAGTGTTCTTCGGATGAAGATGAACTCGAAGTGTTGTTCGTACAACTCGGCGAGTAGGATGAAGGACTATTGGACTTTGGTTTAGAAGGAAAACTCGTCGAGTCAATGCCTAACTCGACGAGTAGAGATTGGATTATGGTCAGACAAAGGGATAGGGACTCGGCGAGTTGGCAGGCTAACTCGGCGAGTCGGGTCAACTTGAAGTTGACTTTGACTTTGACTCTTGGCTTGGTTAGGGGTAAATGGTCATTTTACCCTAAGGTCGATTAGTAGTATTTGAATGAGTATTTTCTGGGGATTATAGTCGGAGGATTTCCGGGGCAGCAGCAACAGAAGACTGTCAGTTCCCACGCAGATCAGCAACTACTTTGAGGTGAGTTACCTTCAAGTTGCGGTGGGTCTATGACCACAATGCCGGCCCACCACTAGGAGTTGTATGATAGATGATTGTCTCTGTGATATTTATCTAGGGTTGCTACTGTTGGATAAGGTGTCTAAGTCCATAACTATTTCTGGTCAGTAGTTGACCCGACCCGGCATGATCCATTTGGGTTGCATGGCACCATGCAATTGGATAGACTAAATGAGAGGAATAACATTTGGAGATTATTAATATATTATAAGTTCTAATATATTAATAATATTATTTGATTAGTTTGATCAAGAATTAATTTAGAATTAATTAAGTGATCAAAAATAACTAATTAATTATATGGGTTGATTATGTAAATCATCCATATCTTGTATAGTGGGCTAAGAGGCTCCATGGATTATCAAGTTAGGTTCCACCCATAGGATACTCCATGGGAGTTACATACCTATGGGTCATGGAAATGAAGAGTCATGACACATTAGGGTTTACATGGTGTAACCCTAGATGTGTCAACATTATATAAGAATCTCATTCTCCACCAAAATCGGTTACACATATGAAACAAGAGGGCTAGGCCGATTTTAAGAAGTGTGTATTCTCTCAAAAGTCTTTCCAAGAGCATTTGGTGTTGTGTGAAGCATTTGAGGCATCACACTTGGGGTGCTAGGCTCACAAGGTTTCAAGGAACATAAGCAACAACAAGGTAAGTTATTCTATCTTTCATTCAAGTTAAAAATTGTTCCCCATGTATGCTAGATCGGAATATAACCTTGGAATTCAACTTTGCATGATAATTAGACAAACATAGATCCAAGGTTATTAGGGTTGCATGTACACTTAGGAAGTGTTAAAATGCTCAAAACCCATCAATGGTATCAGAGCCTAGGCTTGTTTGTTTGTTATTTGTGCTAAAAAGTTGAAAAAAATCTAAAAACTTGTTGTCTGCCTGATGAACTCGCCGAGTCCATGGGGGGACTCGCTGAGTAGGTTCATACACTCGGCGAGTAGGAGCCACAGAGTGCATATTTTCAACTTTAGTTGCTGGAAATTGACTAGAAACATTACCCTAAACTGTTTTGGTACTTGAAAACTTGTTTTAGATGGAGTAATGTCTTTGCTAATTCATTTACAACAACTAGTTATCAAAATTACAAAGTTTGAAGTGTAATTTTGATTCATGAAAGTGTTCATATTCATGTTCTTGATCTTATGATGTTTAGATGATCATAGGAATTATTTGTAACCTATGTGGTAGATTAATTCTTGATCATAATGTGTTTTAATGGAGTCCATAACTTGTCCTCAAGTTATGGAAAACCAAGAGTCACTTGAATTAAAACCATTAAAAGAACACAAGAGTTAGAAAAAATAAAGAGTCTTCATTTTTATTACTCTATTAAACTCATAAGTTACAAGAAATGAAAAGTTTTGAAAGTCTACAAAACTTGCCCTCAAGTTTTGGAACAAGTAAAGTCATATTAAAAACTTTAGTTCCAACCCTTAGAATTTTAAAAGTTAAAATTATACCCTTATACTTATAGTATTATGATTTAATAATTATATGTATATGTATAAGAACAAAGTCGTCTTACCGCTAGTACGCCTCATTCACGAAGCCGGTCTACACTACTAGAAAACAGCCCTTTAATGACTCGCAAACAATGACACTCGCTGATAGAGGACGCGTATTGGTGTGTGCCCTAAAAAATAATGTCAATTTTGCAAAATTTGAAGGATAGTGGACACACATTTGTGCGTGCCCTAAAATTAGTGTTAGAAAAGAAAAAAAATAAATGCGGAGGGCGCCTTTCTTAAAATGTGCATCCTCTAAATGTGCCGCTTTATATTTTTTTGCTTAAACGTGCGTTTTTAAAGGGGGAAAACGAAATCATCTGAAATTCTAAAATTTTGAAGAACCCCGCTTCTACCTCTCTCCTCAGTATCTCCCTTCATTCACTCCTTCCTTCTCTCTGTAAACCCTATGCCATCGCCACTTCCACCGCCATTGAACCTTAAAAACTCAATCCACACTTCACGCTTCTATGATTCTCTCTTCTTCGGATCTCTAATCTCCGATTTTAGTCTGAAAACATCTATCGACCTTCAATTTGAAATTCATCTCTTAAATCCGGCGACCTCGGGCTCACTTCACCTCACCAAAGAGTGCAACGATTGCTCAAGTTTACAAGCCCTATGTTAGATTAATATTGAAGTTGAGTATGATTCTAATGAGATGATCGGTTTCCCTAGTCGCGTTTTCCTGAAGAAATTTCTCACATGCACACCAGATCTTCGAATTGTTGCAGAAGGGACGACCCACGTGTGATTTACGCTAAAAAACTCAACTTTTAGTCATTCGATGATTTTCGTCCGCTTACAGGGACAAGAAATTGAAATCAAAGGGTTAAGGTTGGTTCGTCTCCATCTCTTGTTCACTTCCATCTCCACTTTCTCTTTCATTTACAATCTCTCTTCCATCACCCACCAAAAATGTCTCTTCGAATACTATTCAGTAGTGGGAAAACCCTAGGTCGATTCTAACGATTACGCTTCACATACGATTATGGTGCCCCCACAGGAGGATTTCTGAAGATGCGGTATGGTTTCCGCCCCGCCGTTCGATCTGCTCTTTTTTTTGGCGTTCTATTAGCCATTATTGAATGGGCTGGGAGCATACTAAGTATTTTTATGAGCGCACAATAGCAGATGCCTGTGCTGATCGAAGAGGCGCCAAAATCAACTCCAAATATGAAATCCCCTTTTCTTCATTTCTTAAATAAACTTTTTTGTTTGGTTCAGGGGATTGGCTATTCATTTGCTTCATGGCAGCCATCACATCTTGCTTTGGTCAGATTTTATCTTTATCAGTTGGAGTCTCAGACATCCACCAACTATCAACGTATGATATTTGTGTCCATTGGTCAGGCTGCTGCAAGGATTATTAATATAAATGAAACTGAAATTGTGTGTGGTAGATTTGAACAACTTCAAGTCCCTGCCAAGTTTAAACATAAAAGTATATATTGTTAATAATTTCTGCATATTTTCTTAATAATCTCTAATGATGGAGGATGAGGTTGCCTAAAAATCAGTTTCTCAGTCCATATTTCTTCATCTGCTTGATTTGAACAATGTTTTTTTGTTCAGCAATCCAGGACATCCTTTTGCTATTGGTCTTACTATGGCAAAGCTTGCTGCTTTTACAGTGGATGAAAAGGGGAATGAAACATTTGACACCAGTGGTGCACTAACTGTTCATCATATGTTGAAAATACATCCATCATCACTAACTATTCATCATCATCCCCAACTACTTACTTCCTTTTTTATTGTGTTCATGCTTCTTTTTATTATTTATTTCCATGTCTGGTGCAAGTTTTTTTTATTATTTTTATTATTTTAATGTGTTGGATTTTTATTGCCCACTAAGTGTTTGATTATTTGCTTCACTGAGTTTTGTAATATTTGATAAAGAATATAATAAAGATGTAAATTGGTCATCTTTTAATGAATTATGTTCTTCATCAAGTAAGAACACTTCATTTGGAAGCAAAAACTGGGATTCTATATACTTGGAAAGTACCCTACAACAAGTTGTAGAACTGGGACTTAACTTTCCTGGTGTATATGAGGTAAAATAGTATTCTTGTGTTTTCATTTTCTATTTTTTGTTGTTTTTCATCATCTTGATCTTTGTGTGTGTGTATTTACGTTGAGGAGATTGATGATATTGAAGGAAGTTTGGCAACTTCATTTCTAAGTAAATTACATTTAATATACACTAACTCCAGACAGGTATAAACTGCTATTGTTGTAGTGACAGAGAGAAAACTGTATAAATCTGAAGATCATAAGAAGAACATCAGAAAGGTATGTGAGGATTAGAAGACTTTTTTGGTGCTATTAATTATTTTCAACTCTGATATCTATATTCGATCATCTAAAATGTTAAGACTATGTTTAATGTGAGTTGCTACCTGTATATGCACTATATGCTCACCCTAATACATTGGCTTTTTTTAAATTTAACATTTTGTGCTATTGACTATTAACTTTCATCTTTTTGTCAATTTTGTGCTCGTTAAAGCGATTTGTTCTTAATGATTTCTGGATTAATTGAGGTTAGTGGTAATAAGTGATTTTTTCTTAATGATTTCTGGATTAATTCAGATTATAACAATACCTTAATGATAATAAAATTCTATGATATTTACGTTGTCTTGTTGATTTAATTTACTATTGGAACTAATCAAAGTATTTTTGCATGTGTTTTGCAACAATGAAGTCAGAAGAAAAGTCTAAGATCACTAATACAATGAACTCGTGAGTGTCGCATGTAAGAAACACTATTTATTTTTTATTTATTTCTTACAATAATAATTAATCTCATCTCTTTACACGTGGATAAACATTGATCAATTATGTCTCATCTCTTTATAGGTGGCCCATTTTCTTTTACTTACAAAGCTTTCTAAGACTAATCCATATGACAAGGGCAATTATGTCCTCTGCACATACAAAAGATCAAAGTTTTGGTGTGATTCAAGTGTTTTTGGGGTTACAGGTGCATGAGATGCTATCACAGATGAACCCCACATTGGTGAGTTATTGTGAAAAAAATAGCTGAAAAAGGGGGCCCACTCACTCTGCCTGGAGAAATTGGTGGATCTATTCATGTTGCTCAGATAGAAACAACGACCATGACAAGTGCAAGTGCTCGTCTAAGGAATGTCAAACCAGAAGTCAATGTGGATCAGAGCTATGAAGTCATAACTGAAAATGGGGGCCCACTCACTCTCTCTTTTCACTAAAATAGAACAACAACTTAATTAGGTTCCTCATTCTCATTCCCATACTTGTTTCGATTATTCTATATTATATGAATATGATTAGTTCAAATCCTAATAATTATTAATAAACCATTAGGGAGAATATGTGATTTTGATATCAAACCCCCAAACAGAAGCATATCCAGCCGTCATCTCCTTACTGCTTGAAACAAAAAATCCCAATATATCTGAAAACATAGTAAGCTCACCTCACCTGAAATTCAAACTAAAAAATATATATATTATCTTTCCTTAAAAAAAATAAAAAAAACACTGTGATGCGTTAAAAAAAATATCTTCTGTAATCCTTGACACTTAAGAAACTATATATGTATTACTTCCATACTTGCAATTTTTTTCAGTGACTTCTTTCTCTTTTGTATCAGGTAATGAGTGAAAAAAACTTGCAAGATGAAAACACAAAACCTGCACCTATGCTTATATCATTAGTGTTACAGAACTATAGGGGACACGTGGACCATTGGGTTGAGTCATATCAGGTATATGCAATCCTACACCTATGCTTATATCATTAGTCTTTTTTTGCTTTTCGTCAAGGGGGTGACTCTAATCAGGTGTAATTCCATTCAAGGAAGCTCAAATATCTTTAAAAATATGAATGAAAAAGATATCGTTTCATGGAACACCATGATTTCGTCCTTTGTCTAGAATGGAATGGATGACGAAGCGTTAGAACTTGTTTGTGTTTTTCTCAAAGTTGCTACCTTTTTTCTATTTTCTTACTTTGTATATGTTCTTATAGGTACCTGTTCCTGCACTAAAGGAACATATTGCTTCTGTTACTGCTGTATTGTCTGAACAGCAACGTTTAATCTATCGTGGCAAAGTTCTAAAAGATGATCAGCTCCTTTCAGCTTATCGTATCCTTTTCCACATCTTACATTTGGTGATGCCTAGTGGTGATCTATCAGAAAAGCTAAAGAATGTGTGCTCTTTTTGTTCTTGTTATTGTTAGAAGATTGGATTATGAATAGATTCAACAAATGAGTCACTATCAACTAAGTGTACCAGTTCTGCAAAATGTGAAGGAGTGATCTACACTTTCTATACAACAGGATTGCAATCCAAGTATCCAAAAGTGTGTTATTCATTCAAATCCAAAATATTCACAAGATTTATAAAACTTTATAAAGCCATAAGTAAATTACCTAACTCTGATTCCATTTGTGTCATTTCCAGTTTTACATGGTAAAGTGGTGCATAAAGTGGGTGTTGTATCTATAGGTGTTGGAGGCTTAAAGCTTACTGAATACCTTAAAGAGCAACTTCGTCTAAGAGATCTACATGTTTCTTCATTATACACTATTCGCTCATTGAAAGAGGTAATCTTTTATCCACTTTAATATCTATAAACTTATGCCCTTGAATTATTTTTATATAATTTCCAATTTTACCATTTTGGTCTCAGAAATACAACGGGTCTACATCAGGCAGTGGCAGATTGCACTGAGCGTTGCTATGCTGCCAAAATGAGAACCGATCATACTTGGTTCAGGACAGTTGTGTTGGTTGGAGGCACTGCATGTTTACCAGGGTTACCAGGTATAAATTAATTTATAAATATAAATGTTTTTAATTTTTAATATAATATTAATTTATAAATGCTTCATGTTTTAATTAATTGTAGAAAGATTAGAAAAGGAAGTACATTATCTTCTACCTCCCTCTAGGATGTCAGATATAAATGATATTATTTATCTTTTTTTCTTTTTTTTTAACTAAAAGTACACTAAACATTAATGTGTTAGTTGTTTGTACTTTGTTAGTATCATTCATATAATGAGCCTCACAATACTTTTGAGAAATTCTGAGATATTGGAAGGGCTATTGCTTATGACCTGTTTCTAAAGGTAACTTGTTGCTCTTAACACATTCTAATAAATATATATTAGGCTGTTTTTGGGGGTTATTTCTTTTCTAATGCTATCATGCTTATTGGCTGCCTATTGTGATGAATAGGGTGAAACCGAACTTGGCTGCCTTTTATGCATTCAATATGTTCTTGTTATATATATAAACATTAAATATTTGTTGTTTTTTCAAGTTTTTAGCAGATATATAAGTTGATGACGAGAACATTGTTTTAAGACCTTCAGTGAGTTATGATGATGTCCCTTAATAGCAATGCAATATTAGGTTATATAATTAGGGATGATTATTTGTATTTGACATGTTAGTCCAATGAATTATCTTTCTTATTTATTGTATATTATTTTGTATTTTGTATGATATTAACTTTTGTGCAATGGATTGTATTTTTTGTAAATGGTATTTTATTTTCTATTATGATACATGAAATGCAAATTTAATTTGAAAATTAGTAAATCTATAAATTATGATGTTTTTTTTAAACATTTAAATTTATGATACGCAAAAATGTGTGTCATCTTCATTTATGACATGGCCTTTCTTGACAATGGCTTTCTTGATACGCATTGCGTGTCATTAACACGCGCGTCGTAAGATTACGGCACACGAATGCGTGTCGTCTTCCTTTATGACATGGCCTTCCTTGATACGCAATGCGTGTCGTAATTGCGTGTCATAAATGAGCGTCGTAAATGCGCGTCGTCTCTCTTTATGACAGGGCCTTCCTTGACGCGCATTTGCGCGTCGTCTGAGCCTTTTACGACGCGCAATGAGCGTCGTAAAAGGCTGTTTTTCTAGTAGTGCTATAAGGTGGGTATAAGGTTGTTGCCTATAAAATGGCAACTTAATGGGTGTCCACTCTCACCCACCGCTTGCTTGACTGGTGGAGGGTCGGTAGCCGAACGGGTAAGACAAGGACTTATAAATTCTCATTAAAAGTATGATGAATATTATAAAGTAACTAAATGTTTTATTAAATTCCCAGTCTTAGTTACTTTAGGAAAAATGTGAATAAGGTGCTAATCCATGAAATTACACTTTACACTTTGTTTAAGTCGTTGGTGGAGCGTGTGTGGTTAACCGGCACACTAACTTGGACTTAACAAGGTAGGTAAAGGGTGACCTAAGGTTTATTATAGTATCGGTGGAGCGTGTGTGGTTTACCAACACATCGATTGAGTGATCAAATTTAAGGGTACCAAGTGATTTGCATGGTTACTTCACACCACGTTTTGTGATCCTCGGTATCCCAGTCACAAAACTTGGAGGGCACACTCGAGATTGAAACATGCCTTTGAAAAGTTCATTGAATCTCAAAGAATCTAGGAATTTCTAAGAACCAATCAAAAACCTAATATTTAATATTTCGGTTTTCGTGGTGGAAATTGGTGAATCGTCATTAACCTACCTTTCAAATATGTTATAGCTTGGATTACGGCATACCTCTTCTAAGTTATAATATATTGTGATTGGATCCTAGCCTTAATATTACATTTGGGTGTATTATTAAGGACTCTCTTAATATCTAAACTAATCTTTTCCTCTTCCTTCATATGTCTTCAAACAATGCTGCTTCTGGCTCTAATCCTAATGGCTCCTTTACCCTTATGAACTTGTGTGGGAAAGTCACTTTTGATGGATCCAACTTCAATGAGTGGATCAGAAACATCAGGATGATTACCCGCTACGAGGACAAAGAATATGTCCTTGACAAGGAGCTTAAGGAGATTGATGAGACCACTGCAACTCCCCAGGAGATCGCTGACTTTCAGGCACATGAAAGGGATGCTACGAAAGTGGCATGCATCATGATGGCCACAATGACAGCGGAACTCCAAAAGTCCTATGAGGATTTCTACCCTTATGAAATGCACCAAGATCTGATGGAAAGATACCATCAAAGTGCACGACAAGAGAGGTATGAAATCATTTGCTCCATGATAACAACCATGATGAAGGACGGGGAATCCGTCACGAGCCACATGCAGAAAATGCAAAGGTATGTGGATCGATTGCTGAAGCTTAATGTGAACTTCCCTGAGGAGCTTGAAATAGATATCATTTTGCACTTCTTACCATCTTGCTATGATCAATTCCACATGACATATCACATAAATAAGGAAGAGGTCACACTCAGCAAACTTCAGGGACTTCTCAAGACCCCTGAAACAGGTCTTAAGGGGAAGTCGGTTGTTAACACTCCTACTCCAAACTCCACTCTGGTTTTGGCAATCGGGAAAAGTCGAGGGAAGAAGAGAAAAAGCTCTTCAAAGGGTACCAAGGCTCGGAACATTGATGGCTCTTCTTCAAGTGGAACCAAGAAAGGTTTCATCACTCCTTCTTCTGACCCAAAAGAGGCTGAATGCTTCTATTGCCATGAAAAATCACATTGGAAGCGGAACTGCCCAAAATACCAGCAAGATGTGAAGGATGGGAAAGTTAAACCCAACCATGCAGGTATTTACACTATCATTTCTAATAACTCACCCCATTCTAAATCTTGGGTCCTTGATACCGGTTGTGGTATTCATATTTGTTGTGACTTGCAGGGACTAAGAAGAAGTGAGAATGTGGAGCAAGGAAGAATAAACTTAATCATGGGGAATAGGAAAGTTACACCTGTCACCAAGATTGGAGTTTATACTTTGTCGCTAAGTAGTGGGTTAAATTTAGATTTGAATAAATGTTGTTATTCGCCAGAAATGGCAAGAAATATTATTTCCTTTCATGAATTGTATAAACAAGGTTTCACCTTTTCATTTGATAATGAAGTTGGTGATTAATGCTTTCTTTAATAATGTTCTTTATTTTAAAGCATTACCTTGTGATGGCGTGTATGAAACAGTATATGTGGTTGATAACTTAGGAAATAATGTATTGATTATGTTAATAATAACTTGGATAAATCATCATTATGGCATTGTTGTCTTGGACATATAAGCAAGAAACACATAGGCCAACTCCAAAAAGATGGAGTTTTGGAGTCATTTGACCTAAAGTCAGATGATAGTTGCGAATCATGCGTACTTGGAAAAATGACAAAGTCACCCTTCATAGGTTCTTGTGAGAGGGGTGAACGTTTGTTGGACCTTGTACGCACGGATGTGTGTGGACCATACAAACATGCCACAAGGGATGCTAATCGTTATCATTTGACTTTTACTGATGATTACAGTAGATATGGATATGTCTACTTAATCAAGCATAAGTCAGAGAATTTCGAAAGGTTTAAGGAATTTAAACAGGAAGTCGAGAATCAATTGGGCAGGAAGATTAAGATGCTTCGATCCGATCGTGGTGGTGAGTATCTTAGTTCAGAGTTCCTTGACTATCTAAGGGAATGTGGGATTGTCTCACAATTGACACCTCCCAGGACACCATAGTTGAATGGTGTGGCTGAGAGTCGTAATCGAACCTTGTTGGATATGGTTCGTTCCACGATGAGTCGAGCTTCGCTACTAATCTCATTTTGCGGTTATGCCTTAGAGACTGCCGCCCATATCCTTAATCTAGTCCCTACAAAGAAAGTTGCCAAAACTCCTCATGAGATGTGGACTGGTAAAGTACCTAAACTAGACCACATCAAGATTTGGGGTTGCGAGGCTTTCGTGAGACGCGAGACTCATGATAAGCTCGAACCTCGTAGCGAGAGGTGTATTTTCATCGGCTACCCACATCAATCCTTTGGTTACCTCTTTTACAGACCTAGTGAAAATGTGGTCGTTGTAGCTAGGAGGGCTTTCTTTCGAGAGAGAGAGAGTTCATAAGCCAAGGAAACAGTGGGAGGAAAATTGATCTTGAAGAAATTCAAGAGTCAAGCGGTGAAGGAACTTCAAACCCTAGCACTCAACTTGAGGAGGAAACTCCTGTTGAGCCAATTGACAAGTCTGTACCTCTTAGGTGTTCCACGAGAGTTAGGAATGCACCTAAGCATTACTATGGATTCCATATTACTGCAGAAGGTGATACACTTATCAGTGATGGGACACTGATAGGTCTGGATGAACCTAACAATTACGCGGAAGCCATGGCAGGCCCTGAGTCAGCCAAGTGGCAAGGGGTAATGGATAGCGAGATACAATCCATGTATGACAATCAAGTTTGGAACTTGGTTGAGAATGTACCAGGTTGTAATAATGTAGGGTGCAAATGGATCTTCAAGAAGAAGACCGACATGGATGGTAATGTACACACTTATAAGGCTAGATTGGTTGCAAAGGGCTTCTCTCAAATTCCTGGAGTGGATTATGATGAGACCTTTTCTCCAGTAGCCAAGATTAAGTCTATTAGGGTTATGTTAGCCATAGCTGCATTTCATGACTATGAAATTTGGCAAATGGATGTCAAAACCGCTTTCCTTAATGGAAAGTTGGCCGAAGATGTTTACATGAGTCAGCCAGAAGGTTTTGTCAGCAACGAGTACCCTAATAGAGTGTGTAAGCTTGAGAAATCCATTTATGGATTGAAGCAAACACCTCGCAGATGGAATCTTTGCTTTGATGAAAAGGTCAAGGAATTTGGCTTTTCTAGGAGTGAAGATGAATCTTGTGTGTATGTCAAGGCTAGTGGGAGTATAGTTAGCTTTTTGGTATTGTATGTGGATGACATACTACTCATAGGAAATGACATCCCAACTCTACAGGAAGTTAAGTCCTGGCTTGGGAAGTGTTTCTCTATGAAGGAC